CTTTAGGTTTACATACAACTACATTGATCTTAGTAAAAGGTGCTTTAGATGCACGTGGTTCCAAGTTAATGCCGGATAAAAAGGATTTCGGGTATAGTTTTCCTTGCGATGGTCCGGGACGGGGCGGTACTTGTGATATTTCGGCTTGGGARGCATTTTATTTGGCAGTTTTCTGGATGTTAAATACTATTGGATGYGTTACTTTTTATTGGCATTGGAAACACATCACATTATGGCAGGGTAATGTTTCACAGTTTAATGAATCTTCCACTTATTTGATGGGATGGTTAAGAGATTATCTATGTTAAACTCTTCACAACTTATCAATGGATATAACCCGTTTGGTATGAKTAGTTTATCAGTCTGGGCGTGGATGTTCTTATTTGGGCATCTTGTTTGGGCTACTGGATTTATGTTCTTAATTTCCTGGCGTGGTTATTGGCAGGAATTGATTGAAACTTTAGCATGGTTCGATTTAATTATACTGGATTTATTGACAGGAATTGATTAAAATATAATGCGTTGTTTTTGCATTTGGTTCGATTTAATTATTTTGAATTCGAATTATCTAAAAAAAATTAAAAAAATTTAGAGCTATTTAAATTGGTTATTTTTATCCAATATATCTACAGTCTCCAAATTAACCAAAAATATAAAAAAATGGCTAAACTATATGAATATACTAGATTTTAGGTTAGTTTTCATTTTTAGAAGTTTAGAACTCATTCGTATATACTAGTTCCTTAATGTTTTAAAGTCAATAATTGTAATATATGTTCACTAATAATTTATATTATTGATTAGTAATGATTTTTCAATGCATTATATTTTAAAATCATTTAAAATTTTTTTATTACATAAGTTTATCTAATTATACTATTCGATCGCTACAATGCTACCAATCAACCTTATATTTGAATTGTTCTCTATTATCCAACTGCTGATTCTAACCGCATTGTTTCAAACGACTCACTATTCAACAACTCAAAAACTTTCAACCACTTGTTTCAAATGGAGTCACCAATCGGATCCTTTATAGACAGTACCGAAAGTTTATTTTCAATGAGATGTTTTTATCCAAAAGTCTCTAAATTTTTTTTTTTTTTTAATTGGATGATACTCCAAAAATATCACCATTAATGATGGTTTTACTATATTATTTCGCGGCAAAAAGAACCAATGCAAATAGGATTGGGAGACTCGTGTTATTGTTCTAAGTAAAAGCAATTTTTTTTTTTGAAACTTAAGTAAAAGCATTACAATAGTTAATATGTAAAGACGGTGCTCGTTTTTTGCAGTTAGTGTGTCGGCAATGGACGATAATTAATAACCATTTTTTTGTTGCTCTCTGTGACAAAAAACTGCCAATAACAGTAGTATTTTATTTACATTTTAATCGCGAGTTGACAAAATCTAATGCTAAAATTTGATGTTCAATTGAAACGGCAAAATAAATATTATAGAATTGTTGTTACTGGCAGCAACAATACAAAAAAAATCAGATTCATAATTTATTGATAATCTCGCTTTTTTTTAATAACAAAAATAGTTTTAACCGAAATTTAACTAGTACTTTTCATATGAATGTAGTCATCGAGAGAGAAAACGAGTTGATGCTATACCTCTAGTATTTTTTACCACCAAGCTTTTTTTTAGCTAATCTTTCCAAATTATCTGGCATATAT